CGGCTAATATTTCCTCGACTTGTTGCTCGAAATCCCATAATCCAGCCCAGCAGCAAGCACCCTTCCCAACCCAATCCCATTACAGTCCCAAAAGAAAACGCCCGCGATCGCTGGCTCTCCTGTCGTCGCACTCGCGTTTTCGCAGCGGACACGCCCCCACCCAACCTCAACCAACCACCGTTTAATGAATAACGAATATGGAAACGCGAGCAGCTGCAACACTCGTCCAACGGCCATCAATTTTATTCCGAGCGGCAAAAGCTGGCTGCTGCCCACTGGGTTTCTCTTCCAAAAACGAAGCGAGAGTCCCCTCGACCCGGCCTTGGCGCTCCCCGCGGTCAAGGCTCGGCCTGATTTTCGCTCGACGCTTTCCCGCGCTTCCGATACCGCCTGGCGATCGCTAACAAACAAAAAAGAAGCAAAAAGTAAAGACAAGAAAAGAATAAAAGGTGAAATCCCGGTGTCATCTTGAAGTGAATTTTCCCCGCGGCGCGTCCCACTTCCGAGCTACGTACGTGCACTCACACTTTTACCCTGGGGCCGAGGAGAAGAAGTTTCTCTACTCCGTCGGCCGGTTTATCTTTTCGTATCTCGCCAGCTCCGGTCATCGTTGCCAAGCTGTCCGAACTGTCCTCGCTTATTTATTTCCAATGGATACGACATCGTCCCGTTCGTACTCGTCGGCTTTGGAGCTCGACTCGCTTCGCGATGTGTCATTGTTCCCCAATCATGTTTTTTCGAGTTGCGCTTTTGCGCAATTGCATTCAACGTGAGTGCCCCGTCGACAGCAACGAAATACGAGATGAAGATAAATGACGCGAAGATGGATAAGACGCTTACTCGGTTACGGTCTTCGAGTACGCTCTCGAGGTAATCCTACGAGGTACCAAGCGAGGGCTTGGTATACTTGCATAAATAATAGGCGGAGATACCGCGTGCGTATATTTCAATTCCGAATTGTGAAAGTTCATTAAGGCGCGCGATTATCTCGGTTGGGAATCGAGCAATTTTATCAGTTGAATCGGTTAATAGGCTCGCAGAGACACCCGATTAATCTTAGTACTTACAAAATGGAGCATAACTCGATGGTTATTTAAGAAATTTGTAAGCCCACGGTACGTATCACGTTGACGCAATGGAATTATCGAACCGTCCCCCTCGGTCGCATAAAGCACTACGCAGGAAACGTTCGAGATAGCTGTCGGGGTGGTTTTGTGAGAAAGAGAAAGAGAGAGAGAGAGGGGGGGGGTGTATAGCCCCACGACCTTGCACGTAGCCTCGTCTATTAATTTCGGCGAGTCGGCATTAACATTGCCTCGCGATTCACTTGCATCGAAACATCGCTCGTTCGGCCTTACGTCGCCTAACGTGCCTCGGTACGTCGGCGTCGTGCGACGTCGCATTCGCCAAAAGCATCTCGAAATTCCCGAGATTCGTATGAAACGGACGACGCCACCAGTGATGATGGTGGTGATGGTGATGGTGATGGTGATGGCGATGGCGATGGCGATGGTGGCGGTGGCGGTGGCGGTGGCGGTGGCGGTGGCGGTGGCGGTGGCGGTGACGGTGGCGGTTGCGGTGGCGATGGTAGTAACGGTGACGGTGACGGTAGCGGTAACAGTGGCGGTGGCAGTGGCGGTACAAGTGGCGGTGGCGGTGGCGATAGCGATGGCGATGGTGGTCACGAAGTGGCAGTAGTCACCAGCGCTCACGACGACGCGATAGATCAATAATGGTCGTAAAAGAATTCTTTCAGCTCCTTGGGGGTAGGAGAAATCGCGGCCCTGGCACGCGCACTCTGAAACGCATTGCTTCGAGACGCGAGCGAAAGAAAAAAAGGAAGGGAAAACACGGACCCGCGGAATTTCATTAACAAAGAAAGGCCGGCCTCGAGCGGCGCATAAACGGAAAAAGTAAAGGAGGAAAAAGCGTCCCGCGAAGCAACGGGGTCGGAGAATAGTGGCGCGGCAGACAGAGGGACGAGCGAGAAAGGTGAGGGAAGCGGGGACAGACTCGTGCCCCCCTCGTAGCCTTCGAGGCTAGAATTCCAGCCTTTCTTGTCACTTCTTTTTGAGGTTATGCCGTGCTCGACCGTGCATTCCCAAGCATACAAAAATGTTACCGTTACTCCGAAATTTATTCAGGACCAATCGCAGCATTCGCTCCCTTTTTATAGTATTAGTAGCAGTAGCGCATAACTTTTCGTTCCGTCGCACTGGTTTCGTAAATGACGAGTGAGAGAGAAGGGAGTACAGAGAGAGAGAGAGAGAGAGAGAGAGAGAGAGAAATGGGGCGAGAGGCTTTCACTGCTTCCTCGCTAGGCGCGAATCCCGAGGGTGGCCCTGATTTTCAAATGACAAAATGACGTAGCTCGGAAATTCCTTCTTGATCTGTCAACAACGTGTCAGAGAGCTGCGTCGCGTCGTCCCGTCACGCGTGCGTGCGTGTGTGCGTGCGTGCGTGCGTGCCTAGGTAGGAAGCGCCGCCTGATAATGACGAATCTCGGAGGGCCTACAACGAAATTGCTGCAATCGCCACGGAATTAAAGCTCCCGGTACGCGCGCGCGTCTACTAAGTGTGCTCCGTGAAAATTATATATCGGAGACAGATGTAATGCAATGTGAAATGTCGTGAAGGGAAAGGGTGTAAGGACGGGCGTGGATATGTAACGTAGAAACGTTGCTCGGAACAAAGTTCGTTGAGGTAACGGGGCGTGCTCGGACGTCGGCTATTTTGTTTAGTTTAATTTCGTTTACATTAAAATGATTCAAAAAAAAAAAAGCGGTGGAATGCGGTGAGGTGTCGTGTGAGGTGTCGTGCGATGAGCTGAGGTGAGCTGAGGTGAGCTGAGGTGAGCTGAGGTGAGCCGAGGTGAGCCGAGGTGAGCCGAGGTGAGCTATGGCAAGCTGAAGCGAGACAGAGGGGCGAGGTATAAAAGGGACGGCAATGTGATGTAGCGGTGCGGCGAGAGGGGCGGGGGAGGGGCTAGGCGGCTTACGAGGAATAGATAAGAGATCGACGGACCGCGGTCCGTCATCGTGGCGAGGGCAAAAAATCACTGTTTTCTATGAAAATAAAAAATATGAAAAATAAAGAGATAAAACTTACGTAGTCCCGGGTACCTAGGTTCCTCCCTGATGGGCCAAGCGCGTCATCCCGAGCAACGACGGCAGCGAACTGTCAAGGCGATCGCAACCGACGCCGCGCGCACAACGCTGACTCTGGCGACGACAACGGCAACGGCTCCGTGGCATTAGCGCCGCTACAACGCCGGCGGTTATCCTTGGCCCTCGCTGGCTTGAGGCTTTGAGGTTAGGCACCGCGCACGGCTGCCCGCCGCGTCATCTCTCCCACGCGCGACGACACGGCGCTGGAGCTTCGCAGCGCGGACGAGTCGCGGGGTACGTGCGCATAATACGCACCGGAGCCGGTCGGGTCTGCGAGTCGCGGGTACTCTCAACGCTTCGGACTGGGGGGACCTCACCGGACAGCAGCGTCGCGCCGTCCTCGCCACTCTTCGTCTACGTGCGCCTCTTAATATGGCGGCGCGCGCGCGCCGGCATGACGCACGGAATTTCTCCGCGCCCGTGCCTTTCAGCCCCGACCCCCCCCCCCCCCCCCCCCACCAAACCCCCCACTCGACTCTGCGCACGCACCGGCTGGACGCCGGGGGCTGGGCGGCGACGGGGGCCTACGACGACCGCGCCGCGGCTCAACCCGGTCGATGAACGTCGACCGCTCGTTCGTCACGATCTCGTCGGGGTTGCGGCCTGACGACGACGCTCGCAGGGAGGGGCTGTGGCCCCCCAGGTAGCGTTAGCGGCTCTCGTTTCTCGGGCGAAAATACGCTGGGACCGAGGCGCCGGGCGTCCGTCCTTACGTGCCATCCTTACGATCGCTGTCGGCTCGAGGCGCGGCCGGCGGGCCCCGAGAACCCCGAGAGTCCCTTCCCCCACCTGCCGCGTTCAAGCAGCAGGCCATTCTCCGGCAAGGGCGAATAATGGTTGTGGCAACTAGGGGCAGGTATGCAGGTAATATGGAGTACGAATGGCAGCGATGCGTTAGGAAGGAAATGTTGTGCTCGAGCATCGCGTTCAAAGCTCGCGTGCCATTGGCTCGGGGCCGAGCGTTCTTGCATTGCCGCCGCTCCGCTCCCCCCCCCCCCCCCCCCCCCCCCCCCCCCCCCCCCCCCCCCCCCCCCCCCCCCCCGCCC